ACAATCTTAGAACATAAAACTTGGAAACCTACGAAATGCTATTATGCAAAATTAAGACGCACTTAGTAAACTATTTAAAACCATATCTATTGACTACTTTTTATTTTAGTCGTATTATAAAATCGTATTTATTCCAACTTACAATAATAGGTGACACTGTTCGAAATTTCAAGCGAATAATTCGTTCATCACATACTAGATGTCGTCACTACATAGGTAGTGGCGACATCTAGTATGTCTCATCTATCAGGTAGCTTTACAAAATCTTTAAAAAAAATAGTTCTATTTAGTAGAAAATAAGTGTAACAGAAATTAAGATATTTGCTTTTGTTTAACATTAATATAAAATCTGTAATGAAAATTTTTGAAATTTTCTTATAAATAAATACTGCTTACATATGCTTTCGTAAAACTATTCATTAAAAAAATCCAGTAACTAGATGTTTTTGATATTTTTTTGAAACTGAATCTGGCAGCACAACAACCTGCCATTATGGAATAGTTTTATTCACGTTTCCCGCTACTTGTTTCTCGATATTGGAGTTGCGAATAACTAATATTTTATTTTATTTGGTGGAGTTGCTCCTATTTTATGAAAGTGTTTTTATGTTATTTTTTTTTTGTTTTATTTTATCTATTATATTATTTACGTTGAATTGAGCTACCTATTATTCTTACAACTTCATTTCCAACGATTTGTTTTTGTGTGATATCTTGTCTCCATTGTTACATAGAATAAATAATTTAAATAATTATGTCAGATAAGCGTTGCTGTGTCCCCGGGTGTAAGGACAGTAAGGGTAAGTCATCTCGTCTCCAAGCAACTTGCATCAAGGGCATTATTTGTCTTAGGCTTTAACACATAAGTATGACTTTTTTTAAATGTATCTTGTAAATATTTTAGGCAAGCTAGTTCTTCACAGATTTCCAAACCCAGAAAAGGAAAGTGAACGATTTAGGGTATGGATTTATGCAATTGGCGGTGATATACTAGGCCTCGAAAATATGCACATATTCAAGTATCGCCGTGTGTATCACTCACATTTTGAAGAAAAATTTCAATGCAGAAATAACAGAATTAGTAACATTGCTGTGCCAACTTTGAATATGCCAGGTTTGTCTTTATAGATTACAGAAAAAGTAAATATGTTATAGAATTAATTTAGGACAGTATATTATCAATGACATGTATAGTTTTATTGTAAAATATGTCTTATTGAGTAGGTACCTACATAGCATTAATTTTTACAATGATTCATTCATTAAATAAATAGAATAAAATGAAATATTACTTATATGCACTATAGAGCTTAAAAGGATAATACATGTAGCGATTCCGGCTGACAGAAGGATGAGGATATGATAATTAAGCCTAGTTTTCATAAATATTAAGTTGGCAATGTGTTATCACCCCACTTTTTTCTACTTTTTTCATTAAATAATGTTATATATTATTATTATATTGTGAAATTATACTTTTTGCAAGTCATCACAGATACTGGGCCTGTTTTTTATTGCCATATATATAAATAATTTCAAATTTTAAGAAAATCCTATTATTTTCTTTTAGCTACATTATCAAATAAACCAGCAGTTATGAAAAGAAAACCCATGAAAGAAATTTTGAACCTAGCGGAACCGTCAACATCAACAGGTACTGATATATATGATCATATATGTATTATCATGATTACAGCACATCACAAGTCCACAGCTGAACATAGTATGTGACCTTTTCAAGGGGACTTAATATACATATGAAAAAATGTTAATTTATTTAACTAAAAAAAAAGAAAAAGTTTCCAGTAGAAAGGGTTGGGATGATACAGAAGTTCCTAAATTTGGATTGACTTAACTAAGAGTCTAAAATATATACTATATATTGTTATATGATAACTAAAAATCCATAAAATTAAACACAATAAAATCTCTACAAATATAATGGAATAATCTAACATAAAATTTATAAAACTTATGTACATGTTAAATAACTTTAATAAAACTTTAATAAACCTAGAAAAATCTCTACAAATATAATGGAATAATCTAACATAAAATTTATAAAACTTATGTACATGTTAAATAACTTTAATAAAATTTTAATAAACCTCAAAACTAATAAAAGAGATGATTGCCTTCAGATGGCTGAACGGCTTATCTCTTGATCAAGTCACCTGTCAACAAAAAAAGCTAAATTATATTCCATCTGTTTGGCCACTATGATGCTTTAGACGGACACACAGATACAAATGTTTAATTTATAACACCCCTCTGTTTTTAACTTTTAAATTCAAAAATGCATTATTTTAACTGATATTACTGTGCACGCACTCATTTATAAGGGTCAATCTGTAGACAAAAACATGGTGTCCCATAAATCACGTTCAATTTGGAATAGATGCAAATAAAATTAGAAGCCTTACTTGCTCATATTTACAAAAACTGCAATAATGGTTTATCATTTATATATTTGAACTTAATTTAAAATTTAGCTACTCTTTAAACAATAACCTGTATACTGCACAAAGTAAATTACAGTTAAATTCTTTTTCAATTTAACAATTAAATAACTATGCAGCTGTGACTGTGCACTTGAATATTTGCAGCGCATTGCCTGGCAGGGTCGCCATGTAATGTTGGTAAAGATGTTAACGAGAGGAGACACATTGATCCGTCTATTACTTTAATTAAACAATTAGTCAGAATTTTGATGCCATTTATTAACAGTTTCAATTTATTGAACATAAGATATAAACTTTTATTATAATACAAAAAAATTTGAATTTATGAAATAGTAGAATAGAATACTTTGGTTCTATGTTTTTAATAAAATTCTTAAAACCTATATTTGGTAGAGCCACGCTGCAGCTAAATAATAGTTGTAGCACAAATGGGTAGGCTTGACCGCCATAGGACCACACTTCCACATCAGAATACCAGCTTATAGTATAGTATATAGTAGTTTAATGCTGCTGTGTTTCCTATGGTGAGTGTAGAAAAATGGAGACCTCTTTGTTTCAGGCTTTCCACATTCTAAACTTAACACTGTATTGTTGTGGGAGTTACACTCAATCCACTGAGAAACACCCATTTCTCCTAACCCCTAGTGATATATTTATTTTGGTTCTTTAAATCTTTTCTTCTTTTGAATTATGAATTTCGTTTCAGATCATTACTCTGAATGCTCGGTACATCAATTACATACAAAAATGGAAGGAAATACATCTCACAAAGAAAATCTTGGTTAGTCAGAATTTTGATGGCATTTATTAACAGTATCAATTTATTGAACATAAGATATAAACTTTTATTATAATACAAAATATATATATATATATATATATATATATATATATATATATATATATATATATATATATATATATATGTGTGTTGTTTGCCGAAGTTGATCCGATATACAAATCCACCTTGCGATGGTTACGGAAAATGTTGATCCGATTTAAATGAGCCAATCAGAGCACAGAAAATGATAAGACAAACGATCGGATTGGCTGAAAGCAGCCGCGACGTTGCCGTTTCGTATCTTTGGCGGTACAAGCTACAGATTAAATGCGTGTTCAATACAATAAAGCATTCAGGGTGCTGTTGGGTCTGCCTCGTTACTGCAATGCGCCGGGTTTGTTTGCGGATGCGCGTGTGGATTGTTTCTACACCACCATGCGTAAACGATGCACATCCCTGGTGCGTAGGGTGCGGGCCAGTTCTAATGGTATCCTGAGGGCATTTTCTGACAGGTTTGAGGTCATTACCTGAACCATTGTCATATGGTGTACGTGCTGACTAATTGGACCTGTCTTAAATATAGTTTTAAATAAATAGTTTTAAAATTAAGTTAATAGTTTCAAGTTTAACTAAAATTAGTTTTAAGATTTGTATTATTACTAACATCTATGATCCTTATAGTCGAAATAAACGACTTTTTTGACGAATAACTCGACAACGACAAGGTATTCGCACAGGTAAGAATAGAATTAGAAATTTAGAAAATGAAATGACAACTTTTCAATATTGTTGGATGCTTTCATAAATATTTATTTTATTCAAATATACAATATGTAACGTAATTAACGCACATATGTTATACGTTATATATGTTATACGTGGTAGAGCCATGCTGCAGTTATATTAGTAGTATAGTTGAGCATGGGGCGCGCCACACAACAAAAAAGACCGAAAAACCATTATAGTCCTCACGGGTGACAACGCATCTGCATTTTGATTCGTAATCGAGGATAGATGTGGATGTCTATGGGCCACAGCAACCACTTACCATCAGGTGGACTGTGTGCTCGTTTGTCACCCTATCCTATAAAAAAAACACCCTCAGACAAATAATAAGTAATACATACACTGAATTTTAGTTAAACATTTTTATGCACTGATTATTTATCAAATTAGTTATACTAATTCCGGAAGAATGTTGTGGTCACAGTACAAATCCACGAACGCAAAGACTTTAACGTGCTTGAAATAAAGTTCTTTATTTTTATTGAATGAAGAATTAGTAATAACACTAATAAAACTGCCCTCTTAAAAGTCTTATTGCCTTAAGTTATGGTCCATTTCAGTTTGTTTTGACTGTACTGATTTAGTGTGACTGTAATTTACGTAGTTTTAATTATTTTTGGGATAAAAAATTACTTATATTAAAAACTAGCTGCTGCCCGCGGCTTTGTACGCGGATGATGTTGCTTACGCCAGCGACAACGGGGTCGTCAAAATCGAAGATCTAAAACGTCTGTTTTCGAATCCTAAGAGCCCGGGAGACGGGAAAACAACGTGATGTGCGAGACGATTCGAGACGTTCCAGAGTCGTAATTGGCGCTGCGTGGAAGTTTCTGCGGACAAACTTAGTGCATTACGCTCACGGTTAGCACCTAGCCGTTGTTAAAGCTCTGCGTGGGTTCGAGAGAAACTACTGCTACTACTAACTAACCTGCGCATCTTAAAAACCCTTGAGTTTCGAGACAGATTTGATATTTTTATAAAAGGCATAGCTAGATTCCTTCTTAATCCGATACCAACGATATTCAAAATAATGAAAAGTTATCGAATAAGTACGTAATAGTAGAAAAATAATAATTATTCGTAGGAAAATTAAACACATCAACCAACACAGACAACAAAGGTAACCCCCGTTTTTATAGGATGATAACTTAGAACCAAAAGTTTGACTTGACTTCATGATAGTGTAACTTGTTGTACCACCAATCAATCTGTTTAGTAATATTGGTGTGAAACTCTCCATACAATCAGATAGGACATGTAAAGTTCCCGGATTTCCTAATGCACATAAAAAGTGCAAAAATTAAACAAAGATTACGATTTTTCAAAACAATACTATGGGATTTAAGCTTGCACCATTTAATGCGGTAAACATTTTTGACGGTCGACATATTGTTAAACAGCTGTTCCCTTGCAATTTATAATATTACTGCCCCGCTCCTTTATAAAAATAGCGTGATTATTATGTTCCCAGAGTTAAATTTTTATTTTTATTTTAACTAATAACATATGATTTTGTGCATTCAATTACAGAGAAAAACCTTTTTAAAATCCATACGGCGTGATAATATGTAGCCTAAAGCCTTCCTTGGTAAACAAAGAACATTTTTGCTTAATTTCAATTCAATCTATCCAGTAGTTTTGGCGTGAAGCCGTACCATACACACAGACAAACAGACAAAAATTCTAAAAACTCACTTTTTGTCATCAGTTACGGACCACACTTCCATATCAGAATACCAGCTTATAGTATAGTATATAGTAGTTTAACGCTGCTGTGTTTCGTATGATGAGTGTAGAAAAATGGAGTCCCCTTTTTTACTGGAAATGAGGCATTCCATCTTAGTCCTACGCACAACAACAATTTGACAACGACATTGCATTTTGATTTTTTAATTGAGGATAAATGTAGATGTCTATGGGCTACAACATTCACTTACCATCAGGTCGATTGTGTGCTAATTTGGCACAAGCGCCTGTGTAAAATCGTGGCTAAACTATTACATTAATATAAAGTAGCAAAGGAATAATTATAGAAGTGAAAGAAAATTAACTAATTTTTCAGATCCGGTTACTGCGATGCAAGCACCTGTGATATCAACAAATCCTGTAGTTATAAAGAAAAGGGCTGAAATGGTTTTAGGTATGGTTTATTTTGATTGAGAGTTTTTGCGTTTGTAATCCGGTATCCGCCATATGAACTATTTTGTGCATGAACGTAAAATAAATACCTAACTAATTTAAAGGAAATTACATTAGACAAGAGCCAGAGCCGTGGTAGCTCAGTGGTTAACGCTTGCTGTAAATATAACAGAACGAGATAATATAAGAGAATGTGGTCTCTCTTAATTTTCCTTTTCATCATATCCAGTATAATTGTGTCAATTCCAGTAAATTACAGTTAAATTCTTTTTTTTTATTTAACAGTTTAATAATTATTCAGACTGCGACAGTGCACTTGCATTGTCGCAGCGCATTGTCTGGCAGGGTCGCCGTGTAATGTTGGTAAAGATGGTAATGAGAGGAAACATACTCTAAACTTAACACTACATTGTCGTGGGATTTACAATTCAATCCACTGAGAAACACCCATTTCTCCTAACCTACAGCGATATATTTAGTTTGGTTATTTCTTTAAATCTTTCCTTGTCTTCTTTTGATATTGATTTATGAATTTCATTTCAGGTCATTACTCTGAACGTTCGGTACATCGATTATACACAAAAATGGAAGGAAATACTTCTCACAAAGAAAATCTTGGTTAGTCTGACTTATGATGCCATTTTTTAACAGTTTCAATTTAATGAACATAAAAAGTAAAGTAAAGTTACAGCCTATATACGTCCCACTGCTGGGCACAGGCCTCCACTCATTTCTGAGAGGGTTTTAGGGCAGGAAATAGTCCGCCGCGCTGCCCCAATGCGTCGTAATATGCGTCGAAATAAATCGTGTTGGCGAACTTCACATGTCTTCGAAATAATTTTTTTTTTATATCTCAGACATGCAGGTTTCATCATGATGTTTTCCTTCACCGCCGAGCACGTGGTAAATCAGCACTTAAAATTACAATTAACAATTTCATTGGTGCCGGCGGGGATCGAACTCGGTTTGCTCGCGTACTGTGAAATTTACAGCGAGCGCTAACCATCTGAGCTACCACGGCTCTTGAACATAAGATATAAACTTTTTTTATAATGCAAAAATTTTGAATTACTCTGTATATTTAATGTTTTTCTATGATTGTAATTATAATTCAATGTTTTTAATGAAGTTCTTATAAGCTTATATGTGGTAGAGCCACGCTGCTTAATGCGGGTGAGTTTTGTATGGTGTTTAGGTTTTACTGGAAATGAGGTATTCTATCGTAGTCTTCAGGGGTGGCAACGCATCTGCATTTTAATTTTTAATTGAATTTAAATGTAGATATCTATAGGTACAGCATCAAATTACCATCAGTTTGATTGTGTGCTCATTTGTCACAAACGCCTGTGTAAAATCATGGCTAAAAGTATTACAATGATATAAAGTAGCAAAGGAATAATTATAAAAGTGAAGCATGTTGCTGAAAGAAAATTAACTAATGTTTCAGATCCAGTTACTCCAATGCAAGATCCTGTGATATCAACTAATCCTGTAGTTATAAAGAAAAGGGCTGAAACGTTTTTAGGTATGATTTATTTTGATTGAGAGATGATAACTATTTATATTTAATATTTGATAATATGATATATATTTCATATTTGTTCTGACATAGACAATATTTATATGTAAGGAAAAGAGATAATCTACATATGAAAACTAAAAAGTTACCGGATAATGAAGAACTAAAGATTAAGTACTTATATGAGAAACATGTGTAACAAAATTATTAAAAATCTGAAAAAAGAATATTATAAAAATAAATTAATAAAAAATCAAAGAAATACAAAATGAACATGGAAGATAATTACAGAAGTGTGTAATTTAATTAATTTTGTACAGGGAAAATAAAGTTATACTATTTGTCCAAAATTATACCAAGTTTGACGTTTTATTGTTTTTTTTTTTTGCCAAATTTTTGACGTCACGTGGCTAGTGATTTTATACGTTTTGATTTTTGGTTTTATTATTATTTCTGTTTTATTTTTGTCTTAAGAACTTACCTAATACCTAATATGTTTTATATTCAGTAAGGGTAAAACGAAAAGAACATAAAAGAAACGATACCTACATAATTGAAACTGAACATCGTATTCATAAAATATTTTAAAATTCTGTTTTCATTTCGACACACAAACTGAGAGTAGCTGCTGCCGTCATCAAGCTTCTGGTAAAAATGGATAGGATAAGACTCATAAACAATGTTTACACATGTGCGATGACGAATTGCAATTTGCCTAGTATTATTAAGATACTGCATACTGCACATTATGAAATAATGGTATAAATAGGATAATTATACTACGAAATCCGACCCTGGTTACGTCGTGTTATAACGTTTGTATTATGACAGATGCGCTACTTTTTCTTGTATGAAGAATCCTTCATTTTGAAATCATTGGTTATTCATTACGTTAGCCTAATAGCAGGGTACGGGCCGCGAGCTCAAAAGGTCGTGAAATCGAGTCCGCTATTCGATTACTCTCGTGAACCGTCCCTAGCACAAGCATTTTAAGCTGGTGGTTAAGGGGAATATTAGTAATGATAATACCATTGCTAGTATTTTATCAGCCCTTTTTTACGTGGTAGAGCCATGCTGCAGTTATATCAGTAGTCCAGGAAGGACCACGCTCTCACAGAATACCAGCGTAAAATAGTAGCTTAATGCTACTGTTTCGTATGGTGAGTGTAGAGAACCGGAGACCCTTTTTACTGGAAACGAGGCATTTCATCTTAGTCCTCACGGGTGACAACGCGTCTGCATTTTTATTTGTAATCGAGGATAGATGTGGATGTCTATGGGCCACAGCAACCACTTACCATCAGGTGGACTGTGTGCTCGTTTGTCACCCTATCCTATAAAAAAGCCCTTCTTGATTATTGCTCCACCACCTCTTATATGTTCCTCTGTTTAGCTTAATAGTTGACTGATAGAATTCCCTATGGCATTAAAGTGCACCCTATGAACTATTTTGTGCATGAACGTAAAATAACAAATTTAAAGAATTTAGATAGGTACCAAAATTTACATTAAATTATTGGTCAATAAATTTAAAATTATTAGATTCAGGAAAGTCAATTCGCAACCACTTATAAATACTTAATGATGTTTGTGGGGTGTTGTAATAATTGTTTCTTTTCTTTCGTTTTTTAAACAAAACTGGTTGATAATTTTTTTTTAATTTCTAATTTTAAGGAGGAGCATTGGCAGACAAGAAAAAGACAAAGGGTATCCTTCGAGAAGAGTACGAAGATGCTGATCTGCTGCTTTTATGGATAATATTTTCGACTCAGTTAATGGCAGTTTTTAAAAGAAAAGATGCCAAAACTCGACTTGGACCTGCAACAGCTCACTCCATACATCACAAAACATGTATGGATGCCAAAAAAGTTTTTGCGTCTATGATGTGTATCTTCCACTGGTACAATTTATTCCAACTGTAAACAATTGGGTGTGGCCACTAGAAGGGATGGAAGTTTTATTAAAAAAAAAAATTGAAATTGATTTTGGCATTACATCAGTTTGGTTGCGTCATCTGAATCAGGACCCACTGGAAAATTGCTTTGGATCTGTTAAACGCCATGGATGCCGTAATATTAATCCAACTTGTGACCAATATGAGTCAGCTTTTGCCACCCTTTTGATTAATAATTTAAGTAGTGTCCACTCTCATGGTAAAAACTGCGAGCTAGATTATTGTAATGCTGTGCACTCTCATTGTTAATGAAAACTTAGAGGCATTGTCAACCTGCACATTTGATTTCACAAAAATTTTAGAAATAAACCTCACGCCAATTACAATGAAACTAAATATAAACATTGTGTTAACTGTAAATATGCAATATTGTTATTTTAACAGACTCAAAGTTACAGGCTGACTCCAGAATAGTATATTTACAATGGATACCTTCGCACATTGGCTTAGAGGGTAATGAAAAAGCTGATATTTTAGCCAAACAAGCTATTTCGGCTATTTTATTAATTTTACCCCTTCATTTCAAAACTATATACCTTTACCTTTATTAAAAAAAATATTGTTATGACCTTTGGAAGAAATATTTTGACGAAAGAGCAAAAGAAAAGGGTATATGGTACCGTACGATCCAGCCGTACCCAATGCGCTCAACCTGGATAGATAATGGAATATTGTGTAGACCCGATACTGTGATAGCATTAAGACTCAGATCTGGGCACATTCTATGCAATAAATTTTTGTACTTGAAGCGAAAAACTACCTCACCAAACTGTTCAACTTGCAATGTTATAGATGATGCTTATCACATTTTGATAGAATGTGCCCAGAACTCCATAGAAAGAAAAAAATTGCTAGCATACTGCTTTAATATTTGTTTTCAAATATTCATTATTATATAAATATTATTGCTTGAATATTTGTTTTTGTCAATATTCGATTCGATTTAATGGAGCAATATGCAGAATTGCTTATTTGATTGGCAATTGGTTTAAAATTCATTTCAAAAATTATAAATCGCCGCAATTCCAAAGGACCTAAATTTTACTATCATTTCAATTTAATAATTAAAAAGATTAAGAAAAACAAATATTCAAGATTGGATTTGATTTTAATTTGATATAGGCCGAATATGGTTGTCACCGAATACGAATATTCGGCCGAAAGTTCAGTAAAACTTTTACCGAACAGAATATTCGGCCGAACATTATTCAACGGGATCACCTCTGTAACTAACCAATTATTAATATATCTAAACTGACGACCAAATTAAAGTGAAATGTACTAATTTAATTTAATGTTTTCTTTGTTTGATTCCAAAAACATTTTATCAAACTTTCTATTTGCTATAATCGGAAATAAATCTAAAGTACCTCGAAAACATAACATTTCAAGTAGACTTAACCCATAAATAAAATTTACTTTCAATAGTAAAATTATGAAAGACATGACATTACTCAATTCGTACAATTCAAGTGGACATTTTTAGTACCATTTAAACGAATATTCGGTGATTTAGCCGCATATTCGGCCGACTATCTTCTTCTCAATTTAATGGAGCAATAATGTAGAATTGTTTTAGCAATTGGTTTCAAATTTATTTCAATTGCAAACGATCTCAATTTTATTCTTGACGCATTTTAAATACATATTATAATATAAGAAGTTGAGTGCAGATTTACATTATTTAATGTTTTAAATTTAGTTCTTATCTTTGTTTCAGGCTGTTCATTAATTGCTATATTTAAGTTGAATAAATGTACTGATATTTATTATTGTCATAACTATTATTGTATTTGTGTGCTGTTTTTTAATAAATCCTGTAAATATAATGTTAGTTTTATTTATTTTGATTTTAATTATTAATATCTATGATGAGAACAATAATATTTATACG